AAAAAAAAAAAAAAAAAAAAAAAAAAAAAAACACATCTTAGTAAAACCAATACCTTCTCACCTTCGCATCGAAGCTAAAAAACGCTTCGATGCAAATCTTTAGTTAGTGTTTAATTTAAAAAAATTGGTGGATTATTCTAAATGCTACATGATCTGTTATTTTCTTATTAATATCCTGAATGAAAAAGGGATTATTAAACAATATTATTTCTCATAAAAAATTGTGTTGATCCAAACATTTTTCAATAAGTTATAGCATTAAAAAGTTAAAAATGTAAAAAATAAAATCAAGAATTTTCACACGAAAATAGCAGTCGATAGCCATTTTCACCATGAAGACAAGTCCAGAGTTTAACATTTTTTTTTTTATATTAAAGTATATTACATTACCTTTAATTTAAGATATATATAAAAGTGTCAAACCTTCCGGAACATTTTCAAAAGTTAAGTTGAAAAAGTTAATTTTTTGTGAAAAAATTGTCATTTTAAATCCCCCCTTGTGGGCAGGTTAAGGGTTAAATTTACAAAAAAATATACCAAATGATAGGTAAAGGCATCAAGCATCTAAAAAAAAAAAATTATTATATTGATATGTTCATTTTTGAAAAACTTACGACAGTTTTTAATAAAAAAAATTGAAAAAATTTCGAAAATTAGCGATTTTTAAATTTGTAATTTTTTTGGTGGTTACCCCCATTTACGGGGAACAAGGGAAATTTTTCCAATTTTTAAGGGTAATGTCTTCGACTAGATACGATTTGTGATCTTTTGACGTATCGTTGAAAGAAATCCGTTCTGTGAGAGCTGAGAAAAAGTGGTAACAGACACAAAAAAAAAAAACACATAGTAAAACCAATACTTTCTCAGCTTCGCATCGAAGCTAAAATGCAGTCGTATTTTCCACCGCCCTCCCGTCCCAATAAAAAAAAGTAGTTGGGGTGCGCAAAAAAACAAAAAAAAAAAGTAGAGGATCTCCGTCCCCCTGCGCACTCCCTAATTCGAGCACTGGGTACAGTCATTTGTTATTCGCCGACCCTCCATTCGATCAATCGGCATGTATTGAAATGCTCTTCGGTAGTGATCTGTTTCTTAATTGAATCGGCTTAACACAAAGGCAATTCGTTCTGAAGGATTTCCATCAGCAATTAATATCTATTTGGCTGGGTAATAGTAGGCCAAATAAGTCACAGTTAAATACAGTTTGTCACCGTAAACAATCTTAATAGCTTATCAGGTCCATTGTTTAATAACTCATCTCAAAATATTTATCCTCATGTTTTGCATACATCAACCATAAAACCGAATTTTTATCAAAGTTTGATCAAGTAAAAATGTCTACAATCATTAACTTCCTAATGACCTCACTCGATTTTCGTTATTACCATCAAGACCCATTAATGCATGAGTACTTTATCAGAATTTTAAACAATCAATTGCTTACAATAACAAGTGTTCACCTTATAACTCAACACCACCACGTACACCGCAAAGGACCACACGACTTGACTCGCTATCAATTCGCTTACAAAGTTGCATCTCTATTGTACATACTATCTTTTTAAATATTTTGTTCGTACTTTTTTTATTCCCTTCCTAATTAAGTTATTTGTTCCTAGGTGTCAAACTAATTCAATATTTTGTTTATAATTTGTTCTTTTTATTAATAATTTTATTCAATTTGTTTACGTTGATATTTTATGCTAATATTAAGACTACACTCATACTAAGTTTATGTTCAATCAAGTTGTTTTGAAAGGCTTCGTCTTTTAATGGGTGGAGTATGTTTAGTAGAGAGCGCCTTTAACATAGTCAACTGATCCACTAGATCAGTTGTAACAAATACTGTTGAATACATCATATTGCGTGACAGCTGATCTTTAGCGTCTTTGCTTACCTATCTCTTCGCCTACACTGAACCGGCAAATTGACGTCCTACGCGTTAATTGGTCGCCATGTACAGGTTATTTTCGTTCCTCAACGGATAATACTGTGCGTTTTTTTTTGAATACGCAACAAGCGCGTCAAATTATGGTCTACGAAACATAATTTTCAATTACAAAAGTTAAGTTTTTGTGGGGTTTAGGTGGTATGAACCCCTAAACAAATGATATTACTACGCTATATTATGTTCTATGACAAAGTTGCACTAATGTGGGGTTAGTGATCTAAATTTCATTAAAATTAATATTGTTATTTTTTTCACGAACTTTTTTGAAAATGTTGAGAGAAGTTAGGTTGGAACCACTATATATTTTATTCAAATTGCACTTATGTTCCTTGAAAATTACTACAATGTATCATTTGTTTGACTCACTTAATGCATTTAAATCAATTCAATTAAATCGGCTTCTTTATTGCTTAAGAAAAAAATATAATTGACAAAATAAAAACCCATAAATAATTTAAAATGGGGCAAATATTGGTATTTTAAAAATTTTCTATTTTCATATTTAATTCATAGCTTGGAAAAGATGATGAAAATAATCATTGAAATTTGTAACCAAAACTATTACAAAAGAAAAAGATTGTACTATGAATTAATAAATATTAAGTATTAATTTTAGAAAACTTAGGAGAAAATTTAAATACTTATCTTAGTTATCTAGCTAACATGGTTAGTTATCCAAATTATTATTAACAAATTACATCATAGTACGCTAAATTTTAATTTCTAACCGCAATTGAAAGTAACGGAAGTGAGTTAGTATTATTAATATTACTCACCAATAACATATTAATATAATAATATTAATATAACATATTAATATTGCTCACCAAATTTTATTTTAGCCTCCGAAACCGTCATTGGATGAGGTATGAATTTTGCCTAATAATTTTTTATGGTCTGTATTATAGTTACAGATTCGTATCTGTTACTATATAAGGATCTGTTTTATAATAAATCTATTATATTTGAAATGTTTTAACGTATACTTTTTAGTTTTATAGTTTATACTCTTAAAATCCCTCATTCGTCTCATAACTTAACTCCGATTCAAGATTTCTTGAAATTACCCTTTTTATCTGTCAAAAAATGTGAAGAAAACATAAGTTTTATTTCCAAAATTACACGTGGTTTAATTTCTTCTAACTTTAAATTCTTTCTAAATTCAGATTTCGGTTTTTTGACGTTCAAATCGTAATTATACCCATTTTTATATACTTCTCGCTTCTACTAATCATTTTTTTTTGTTCCACATTTCTACATTTAAAATTTAATGACCATTGTAAATAGTAATCCTCTTAAATTCTCGCGATTTTAATAGATTTTGAAAACTTAAACATTTAGCTGTTAAATTATTAAACATATAGTGTAATACTGTGTGTTGTTTATAATATATGTAATATATTCCGGAAGTAAAATAGTCCCCCATTCGGATCTTCGGGCGGGGACTACGAGAGGGGAAAAAAATGTTAAAGAGTATAAACGCATAGAAATTTGGAATGTAAGAACTTTATTACAATGTGAGAAGTTGGAAAACCTGAAAATGGAAATGGAAATGAACAAGATGAAAATTGATATCCTTGGAATATCAGAAATAAGATGGCCAAAGTCAGGAAACTTCTGGAGCAGAGACTATAGAATAATACATATAGGAGCAAAAAATCTGGCACAGGAGGAGTAGGGATTATAATAAATAAAACCCTAGGTGATAAAGTTAAAGGCTATATACATTAGCATGATAGAATTATTCTAGTTAAGTTCAAGACGAAACCAAAACAAATAATAGTAGTTTAAGTATATATGCCAACAACAAATAGTAGTGACGAAGAACTAAAAAAAGTATATAAAAATATAGACAAATTAATTTAAAATGTTAAACGGGAAGAGAATCTGACTGGAATGCCATCGTGGGGGAAGAAAAAGTAAAAAACTGGTGAATATGGACCATAACCTAGTTATTATGAAGTGTAATCTTAAATTTAAAAGAATAATGAGTAAAAAGAAAATGGTGAAATGGCAAATTAAAATCTAAGAGATGAAAAAACCATGAAACAATATAGTAAATGCACAAGTAATGCGATTACCGAAGAATCCTAGAACCCCAAAACATTGAAGAAAGATAACAGAACTTTAAAGATACACTCACAAATACTGCAATATAAACTTAAGCATACAAAAATTTTACAGCGAGAAAGGATTGGATTACAACTGAAATTGTCAATATAATAGAGGAAAAAAGGAAATATAAAAGTTCGAACAGTATCGAAGGACAAGAAAGATAAAGAGTACTGAGGAATCATGTTATTAGGAAGTTATTACTTATTATAAGTTATTAGGAAATCAAGGTAAGCTAAAGAAAAATGTTTAGAAGAAGGGTGTAGTGAAATAGAAACCCTTATGAAAACAGGAAGCAGAGAGGAAGCATATAATATGTTGAAAAAGTTCTTCTTTGACAAGTATAAAATCTGATCTGGAGGAGTAGAAGATATCAATAGAGAAATGTTATGAACAAGAAGATATAGCCAAAAGATGGAAGGAATATTTAGAAACTCTGTACGAGGGAGAAACACTTAAGGGAAATGAAACAAATTAAAAAGAGAAAACGGAAGAAAAAGGATACAAAATTGATTCAGTTATGAGGGAGGAGTTCGATAAAGCTTTAAAGAATCTGAAGAATAAAAAAACAGCAGAAATTGATGAAATTCAAGCGGAGCTTTGGAAGGAGTCGGGAGAAAAAGTTAAAAACAAATTATCAGAGATATATACGTAACTGGGAATTGCTGAAGGATTTCGTAAAAAGCATAATTATCCCCATCCCAAAAAAAAGCAGCAGCGAAAAAATGTGAAAAATGCCGTACAATTAGCCTACTATCCCATGGCTCTAAAATACTAACAAAGATTATATTCCAACGTATTGAATCAAAAATAGAACAATCGCTGAAAGAGCACCAATTAGGATTCAGGGAAAATATGTGCAAAATAACGTGCAAAAAACAAAAGTACTCGTTTGTGGAAGGGAGAATAAAACCAAAGTACTGATAAAAATACGAGGAAAACAAACAGTAAAACAAGTAGATGAATTTGCATACTTGGGAAGCACAATCAGCAATAATGGGAGAAATAGGAGTGAAATAAAGAAACGCATTTGTCATGCTAAAATAGCCTTTAATAAAAAGAAAAATCTAATTCCATTAAGAAACATTAGCCTAAAAATAAAAAAGAATTTATTGAAAATATATGTATGGAGTATAGCCCTTTATGGATGTGAAACCTGGACAATATCAACACAGGAACAAAAAAGGCTAGAGTCGTTTGTAATGTGATGCTATAGTAGAATATTAAGAATAAGTTGGATGGACACTCCATCGTTACTCCAACCAATGTAGAGGTACAAGAAAGAATAACAGAAGGAAAGTTATTATGGAATAATATAGTTAGGAGACAAAATTAATAGATAGGCCACATATTGCGACACGAAGGATTGCTAAAACTGATTATAGAAGGAAGCGTAGAGGAGAAGAACCATAGGGGAAGACCAAGATTGGAATATATTCAAAAAATAATAAAAGACTTAGGATGCAACTCATATGTAGAAATGAAAAGGAAAGCGGATAATAGAGAAGAATGGAAGATGGCTACATACCAATCCACGGATTGATACCATAGAGAGAGAGAGACTATATATTTTTTCCATTTACATTTCTAGTTGATATTATTATAGTTCTATTGTTCAATTAACTTAATTACTTAAATTAACTTAAAAAAATTTAATTATGTTGATTGTTCTCATTGTTATAATAATTGACCTTTTTTCTTACTTTTAAAACTCTCTGTATAATGTTAATTTTAAATTTGTTAATTTAGTTGTCAATTAAATATTGCTATTTTGGGTTTTTACTCGTTATGTAAATAAAATAATATAATTTATTGTTAGTAAACACATAATTTAGTAATTGTAGACGACCGACTTTTACGAAATAATAATGTTCCTAAGACAAAATGTGTTAAAAAATAGGACATATGTGTTAATAACCAGTTAAGAAAATAACTTAAGAAGTATGAAAATTTTAAATATTGGACGATATTTACTAACAAGAGATTTATCAGATTTTTTAAACGTAGGACCTAAAAAAGAAAATTCATATTTATTAGGAAATACACTAGTTTTAATGTATTTATAGTTGGGATCCAGTGTAATGGAATTGAGAGATTTTTAAATTATTATTGATTTATATCTGACAGTGTTTAAAATCACTGTGGAAATCACTTTGATCGTAATGAAATGACCATTATAGGGTTTTATAATGGTATTTATGTCTTTGAACGGATGAAAGGTTACAAGTAGTGTGACTCATACATCAGTACTCTCAGATGAAGGAATGAATGGAATCCATAGATAAAAAGAGACAGGTGAGAAGGGATATTTACAAAAGTTTGATGGTTGTGAGCAAATATGGAACACTGGTTAACTTAACTACTAAATAATAAACAAGTTAAATAGAATATAGTAATCATTAAGTGTAATAAAATATTAAAAGAATAAATAAATTAGCTTTGTTCTGTTTAGTATAAATGTAACATAGAATTAAACAATGTACATATTAGTCTTATTCATAATTTTTTTATTTAGCGTCGTAAGAAGACTACGAAACAGGTATGAATTTTACACAATATTAATATTTGAAAAAAACCTATTTTGCAGAAATTAATTTTTGTATTATTTACTTAAACATACAGAAAACAGTTTTATACAGTCGGGATCAACCATATAGGAAATGAAGTATTTTTTAGATTAGTATTGATTGATCAATACACTTTTCAATAAGTTATAGCATTATAAAGTTAAAAATGTAAAAAATAAAATCGATAATTTTCACACAATAATAGCATTTAGTAGCCATTTTCACCGTGAAGACAAAATAAAGTCCGAAATTTTTTTTTTAAATAATAAAGTAGATTACATTAGCTTTAATTTTATATATATATAAAAGTGTCAGACTTTCCGGAACACTTTCAAAATTTAAGTTGAAAAAGTCAATTTTTTGTGAAAAATTTGTCATTTTGAATCCCCCCCTGTAGGCAGGTAAAAAGTCAGCTTTATAAAAAAAATATACCAAATGATAGGTAAAGACATCATGCATCTACATAAAAAAGAATTATATTGATCCATACATCTTTCAAAAAGTTATAGCATTATAAAGTTAAAAATATAAAAAATAATTTTTTTACAAAAATCGTATTTTTTTTATTAAGTTTAATGTCTGTTTTCACCATGAAGATAAAATAAAGTCCGAAATTTTTTTTTACCATTATAAAGTATATTACATTAGCTTTAATTTAAGATATATATAAAAGTGTCAGACCTTCCGGAACACTTTCAAAAGTTAAGTTGAAAAAGTTCTACTTTCTATATGCATTTTTATGTTTTGAATCCCCCCTGTATTAAGGGAAATGGTCCGATTTAAAAAAAAAAGTATGTCGAATGAAAGATCTATATAAATACTACTTCTCATAAAAAAATTGTAATGATCCATACATTTTTCAAAAAGTTATAGCATAATAAAGTTAAAAATGTAAAATTCAAAATCGAAAATTTTCACATAAAAATAGCATACGGTAGCCATTTTCATCGTGAAGACAATATAAAGTCCGAAATTTTTTTTTTTCATAATAAAGTACATTACATTAGCTTTAATTTAAGATGTATATAAAAGTGTCAGACCTTCCGGAACAATTTCAAAAATTACGTTGAAAAAATTAATTTTTTGTAAAAAAGTTGTCATTTTAAATCCCCCCTTGTGGGCAGGTTAAGGGTTAAATTTATAAAAAAAATATACCAAATGAAGGGTAAAGAAATCATGCATCTACAAAAAAAAGAATTATATTGATATGTTCATTTTTGAAAAAGTTACAACAGTTTTTAGTAAAAAAAATTTCGAAAATTAGCCATTTTTAAATTTGTAATTTTTTTGGAGGTTTCCCCCATTTACGGGGAACGAGGGAA